GGGCAGTGGGTGGCACACACCATTAATCCCAACAATCAGGAGGCAGAGACAGGCAGCTCTCTGGGAGTTCAAGGGCAGCCTGGTCTACAGAGTGAGTTCTAGAACAGCCAAGGCTACACAGAGAAACCCTGTCTTGGAAACCCAATTAATTAGTCAATTATTTAACAAAGAAAACAAAACTCAAAATGTGTGATCTTAAAGTGACAGGGAGATTACTTCCTCCTTCAGGCCTCATTGTGGTCTGATCCAGAAAGGACCACCTACACTTTGATTTTGTGGCATATTGAAACAGAAATTTTGAGTTAGTTGAGATCAATGACATAACAGAGAGCCTTGGTTCAGATACGGATAGTTAAAATTGCAGGTCAGCTAGCTTGCTAACCCAAGGCCGTCACAGGGGATGCAGAACAGGAAAACAAAGGTCAATTGAGTGTTCAGGGAATCTGTTCCCGTGGTGTCTGACTTAGCCTCCTCTGGAAAAACTCCCACCAGAGGTCCCAAGGACTTTCGAATTAAATTCAGCCAGATGGTCTATTGGCTCAGATATGCATTCACACTGGGTCCCAAGGCCACAGGGACCAGAGACTACTCTCGTGAGATTTGTCAAACCTCTTCCTGGGATCTGCTTACACACATTACTGACATTTGAAACAACCAATTGTGTGTGATTACCCACAACCCTCTCCCTGCCCCCTGCCTTTGCCTATAATAACCCTAAGCTTTTGGGCCTCGAGGTTGATAACCCCTACCTCCTGCGTGAGGCACGTATCAACCCGAAGCTTCGATAATAAAGGACCTGACTCATGTAATTACAGCAAGACGGTTTCTGAAGTGTCTTTGGGTCTGCATCCTTCCTGGGTCCCCTTGGAGGAGTCTTTCAGTATCTCCTGTGTTGTCTTTTGAACATGTTTTTTAAGCCTCTTCCCCCTCCTCCATTTTAATAGATTTTGTCACTTAAAATAAGAAACTTTAGGGCTAAAATACTCATCACATAGAGAAGGGGCTGGAGAGATGATTCAGTGGTTAAGAGCATTTGTTGCTCTTGCAGAGGATCCAGGTTTGTTTCCCAGCAACCCCTATGGCAGCTCACAACCATCTATAACTTCAGCATCAGGGTATCCAGTACCCTCTTCTGATTTCAAAGAGCACTAGGTATATATCTGTTGCATAGACATATATGCAGACAAAACATATTTACATGCAATAAATCTTTTTGTGGTTTTGCTTTGTTTTTTTGAGAGAGAGGTTCTCTGTGTAGCCCTGGATGTCCTGGAACTTGCTTTATAGACCAGGCTGGTCTTGAACTCAGAGATTCTCCTGCCTCTGTCTCCCAAGTGCTAGGATTAAAGGCATGTACTAGCACACTTAACCACATATAATAAATCTTTAAAAACAAGCAAACAGCCGGGCAGTGGTGACGCACACCTTTAATCCCAGCACTTGGGAGGCAGAGGCAGGCAGATTTCTGAGTTAGAGGCCAGCCTGGTCTACAGCCAGGGCTTCACAGAGGAACCCTGTCTCAAAAAAAACAAACAAACAAAAAAACAAACAAAAAACAAGCAAACAAACAAAAAAACCATCACATAGCTCCTTATTGAATGCTGTGTGAACATTCCCCTGAAACAAAGCTTATCAGACAGGAAGCAAAGGAAACACAGAAGGCTCAGGAAGCCTCTGAAAGTTACAAGACTCACAAGGCCCCATCCCTAAGTTGTATGAACAGTAACAATTGCTCAGGAGAGGAAACTGGCCAGCTGAGCTGCTTGGAAGTTGTGCAGGGAATTCCAGAGATGTCTGTGTCACCAATGCTTCTGTGAGTAACTCTAATATTCACTGGTTCAGTAAGGTGGGCTTGTGTAGAATGAATTATTCTATTTGTCATCCATGCCTTCCTTATCTGGGGTGAAGAGACATTTGTTCCTGTGTACCCAGGAAAAGTCCCATAATAACTATATTCTGATTCTTTGTACCTCTTACCAGTAAATTCAAATTATATTCTCTCCTAGGAATTGGTTTGTACCAACATATTCCAATATAAATGTGCTTTGTGAGTTGCAACACCATATAGGCATCCAAATTCCACAAATTTATTTTGTTTGTTTTATTGTTGAAGACAGGGTTTCTCTATATAGTCCCAGCTGATCTAACAATCTCTCTGTAGACCAGGCTAGCCTTGAATTCACAAAGATCCACCTGCCTTTGCCTCCTGAGTGCTGCTTTTAAAGGTGTGTATCACCATCACCTGACATAAATTACTATTTTAAAGAAATAAATTATTCCAGATTACTAATGGTGAACTGAGTGGACTATCAAGTGGACTATCATAACCAATAGATGGACCTCCCTTTCAAACTGAGTTCTGATGCCAGCTTGGCCTGTTCCTAACTGCATGTTCCTAACAAACATGCAGCTTGTTTTAACAATATGTATTCAGTAGACTGTTAGCCTTAGAAATAGAGCTGTTTGCAATCCTAACATTCAGACTGTTGGAGACAAGAGAATATAGCAAGTTTCAGTTCTAGGGCAGCCTAGTCTATATAGTCAAACAACCCCTTACACACACACACACACACACACACACACACACACTCATACCCACAACTTGAAGATTATTATGCTATCTATGTGAAATAAGCCCACATGGACAGCCATGTGTGGTCCCTCTTTTAGGAGGTTCCTGGAACCGTCAATCACAATGAAACAGAAAGACCAGTGGTTAACGGATATGAGAAACATCTAGAGAGCATGTTAGCACTTGTTTGTAATTCTAGGCCATGGCAGGAGGATGACAGGGTCGATCCTATCCTGGGCTCTGAAGTGAGTCCTAGAGTTTGTTGGAACAATAATGTAAACAACTCCTTGAAAACGGTCTTGAGGATACATTGGACGCTCTGTGCATCGGAGCAGAGCTTAAGGAAACAAGAAGTGGTGTGGTGAGGGAAGCCGGAAGGAGCTGCTCTCTACATGTCAGTTTTGGCTGATCTCACCCTGTCTTGTCTGCTCAGTTCAGCCGCACAGTGGTTCAGCAGGCATACTCTAGATCTCCTGTGCATAATGGTGTAGTGAGTACATTCTACGTCTAACAAACTCCCAGAAACAGACAGCTGAACAATGCTTTGTCTCCAGGAACAACTGACATAGACCTGCAAACGTACAACATTACAACGTGACATTGTCCTCTACAAAGTTCACACCCGAGAATCACATAATGGAGTGACAGCCACCCATCCCCACCTCTGCCAAAAAGATTTTTAAGTATGTTTAAGATTCTGTGTTTGGCCACATTTATCGCTATCCTCTGCCACAGGCTGGACACTGAAAGTTTTGAACAAGGTCATACGCAGACACGCAGATGTGCTAACAATAGGAAATGGGGCGTGGTGGTGCTTGGCTTGGGACTTAAAAACAGAATTCCTAGGGCTGGTGAAATGGCTCAGTGGTCAAGAGCACTGACTGCTCTTCCAGAGGTCATGAGTTCAAATCCCAGCAACTACATGGTGGCTTACAACCATCCGTAATGGGATCTGATGCCCTCTTATGGATGTCTGAAGACAGCTACAGTGTACTTACATATAATAAATAAATAATTTAAAAATAAAATAAAAACAGAATTCCTGCTGAGCTAAGTTTTGCAGGAAAGAGCTATCAGCACAAAGAATACCAAATGATTCACAATAAATGTTTCTACCTTAAACACAGAAGCAAAGTACTTAGTGCAGAATTCTGAAAGAATAAGTTATTGTTTTGTTTCTAAGGCCATTTAGCCAACTTGTTTTAACTACTAAGTATGCTGGTCAATTAAAGTCTGTTTTTGTTTGTTTGTTGAGACATGGTTTCTCTATGTAGCTCAGGCTGGCCTTGAACTCAGAGATCCGCCAGATTAGGAGGTAGAATTTAGGATCTACCTCCTAAATTCTGGGATTAAAGGTGTTCGACCACCGCAGCTGGCTCAGTTAAAGTCTTAAAATCATTTGAAAAGCTTAAAATCATTGGTACAGCTGCTGAAGGTTCCAATTAATTCAGGAACCCAGTGTACTTGATGAAGAACTGAGGAGAGGTAGCTATTGCCCAGAAACTGATCCAGAGTCCAGCACGCTGGATTCAGCTGACAGATCTCCTTTCCATTTTACTGTCTGCAAGATTCTTCAAAATCAACCTCAGCTCAACATGGTGGTTCACCTGTATTCTCAGCACTTGGGAGCCGGAGGCCAGCCTGTTCCACATAACAAGTCCCTGATCCCAAGAAAAAAAAGAAAAAAAAAACTGTCCAAGAACCGTTCCCCTCTTCTGTGCCTCAGGAAGCTCATGTTGCAATGAGCCTACAACAATTCTGGTGAGCACCACAACTCTGATATTTCTGGTTAATTCCTATTCTTATTGAAGCTGTTGTAACAACAGGCAGGAATGTAAAGTAGGACCTGGTCATCCTCGGCTGTCTATCTTCACTGTGGCCTATTTGCAGGGCCATCTTCTCCCGAGATGTGACCTCTGTCAGTCGGCTATCAGATGTATTTCTGTAACTCAGACCCTGGCACACTGTACAAGACACATAGCAGCACCAACGGTTAAGAATCTTACAACCGTTAAGTCACTTACAATGTGACTGTGACCAAGTTCCTCACTTGCAGTAGAGATGGCAATTCTGAGTAGTTCATGGGCTATAGAAGAATGCAAAGCTTACATCAGGAGCCTACCATACAGGACTCTAGAACAGTAATCCACTATTGTAGATTTTACGTCTTTACGTCTGTGCATAAAATATAGATGAAACTGTAAATAACACATCACCAAAATGAGCCTAAGTCCAAAATGGGCCTAAGTTTTTGCCAGAAAACAAAAACTTTGCTGATCCCTTCCCTGGTGGCTGGCACTTCACTTCAAGACATACTCCAACAAGCAACAGCCTTGAAACAGGCCAGGTGAGGGCGGAGCTCCGGTCCAAGGGGCGGAGTTCGACGGGCGAGTCACGCCGAGCGCAGAGGGCGGAGCTTTCGCGCGCCGATCACGTGAGCCTCTGTTGACACTTCCGGGTGGGACGAGATCGAGGCGGTGGACTGATTTGGCTGCTGGGGCGCAGACATGGCATACCACGGCCTCACTGTGCCTTTGATCGTGATGAGCGTGTTCTGGGGCTTTGTGGGCCTCCTCGTGCCCTGGTTTATCCCCAAGGGTCCTAACCGAGGGTAAGTGCGCCAGGCCCGAGGTGGTGGGAGCTGAGGACTTCGGTGGGAGGATCACAGAGAAAAGGATCGTGCGTGGAGGACTACGGCGGGGGGATGAGGCCGGGAGGACTACATGCGCTCCTCAGAGCCTGTCAGTGTCCTCGGCCGGAGGGTGAGGTCACCTTTGGCAGCCCCTCCCGGAAGTGAATTTTAGGGAGTGCTTTTTGTCTTGATGGACCAAAAGCGTGTACATCGACTGAAGAGAAGAAGTTAGGGTGCCTCCCAAGCCACTCTTGCTGCTGTGGACCTGTCTTTTATGCAAGGGAGGCTTTTTGCCCAAACTTCAAAGAAAAGGATCTGAGAACAAAAATCTACCTCTGCCTCCATGCTGTCGCAATTGCGGACTCTGACAAGCTTGCTGCATAGCGCTGAGCTCAGCCTTTGCATCTAGTGGGCCCAACCCAGGAGGGGGTGAGCCTGATCTAAGCGAGGTTAAATCACCCAGAGCCAAAGGTATTGTTTAGAAACCTCTGCGTCATGCCTTCCAGGGCGCTTCTGCCCTTGCTTGTCAACGAGTATTTACTATGGTTGGCCAAGGTTTTGCTGAATACCGCTTTCTTTGTTTGGAGATAAACTTCTATATTGCAGTGTCAAACAGGCCTCTTCAGAGGAGCCCGGAACACCCTCTTTCTAGTTCCTCTTTTGAATTAACTAATTCTTTCCCTCTCAACTCAAGATCATGTGGAGGTGACACTTGAACTTAAGTGGTAGTGTGTCAAAAACGTCTCTTGCTTTAATGGATTAGACACTGAATGGTGGGTACATAGTGTTTAGCCCCACAGCACTTTGTAGAGTAGACAGTGTATATTGAGTGGGACATTTTGATTAGAGGAAGTTTTACTGTGTTTTGTCATATTGGCTTCTATTACTGTCTGGAATATACTGACTTTGAAAAAAAATTTTTTTTCTATTAGCCTAAGAAAATGCTTTTAAAGATTTATGTAACCGGGTGGTGGTGGCGCACGCCTTTAATCCCAGCGCTTGGGAGGCAGAGGCAGGTGGATTTCTGAGTTCGAGGTCAGCCTGGTCTACAGAGTGAGTTCCACGACAGCCAGAACTATACAGAGAAACCGTGTCTTGAAAAACCAAAAAAAAAAAAATTATGTGTTATTTATTTTATGTATATAAGTGTTTGTAAGGGTGTCACGTATGTGCAGTGCCCACAGAGGGCTTTGGATGTCTTGGAATTGGAGTTACAGATGGTTATGAGCTGTCTCATGGGTGCTGGGATTTGAACCCAGGTCTTTTGGAAGAGCAAATGTTCCTAACCAAATAGCCATCTCTCTGGGTCCTAAATGAATGGCTTTTGAAAGAAAAAGGATAGGTGAATTTTTGTTATTTATAAGCATCGAGTCCCACCCCTCGATAACAGTTCTACAGGCTCATCTTCCGTTTACAGCGGCTGATGTGGTACCTGATCTCTGGAGTTATCGAAGTCATTTGTATTAACCAAATTCATTTAGACCTTTTTTTCCTCTTGGAGTTAAAGACAACAAAATGCCTCCGTTGTGTTTCAACCAACCCTGTCTCATTCCACCACTGGCCGTCTTTCTGGCCTTCACCCCAGAAGCGCTCTTATTAACGTGCCTCGTTTGGACCCCTCCTTTCTTAAAACTCTGCTCTCCCCATCCTTGGCATCAGGTGCCGCTCCTGTTATGCAGAGTAATGAAACCCCTGGTGCTCACCGTCAGGTTCTATTTGACCTGCATTGAGATCGTATCTGGGGCCCATTTGCAGGCTCCATTACGATCCTTGTGTTTCTTGCTCTTGGCAGGATTGAGCAGGTCTTGAAATGGTGCCTCCTAGGAGTTATAGACTTACATTTTAGGAAACACTGCTCCAAGGTGACTGAGCTCTTATGACCTTGGAAGATTTAGTTTGCTTTTCCATGTCCCTATGTTTTACTAAAACATGGACATTTTAGGGTTAATTATTACCAGATCCCTTCTACATCTTCCTCCCCAAACAATTGTAAATCAAAAGGTTTTTTTCTTTTTGAAATTATGCAAGAACTGACCTGCTTAATGAACTCTGATGATGTTTTTTCCTGTGTGGCGGGGGCAGAGGTTGGGGGGGGGTTACTGAGAAGTGAACCCAGAGCCTCCCACCTTCCAGACACACACTCTGGCACTGAGTTGTATCCTGAGCTGTATCCCCAGCCACCACAATGGACTGAATATTTAATTCAGGAAAGCATCTCTGACTTGTGGGATTAGGAGATTTTCTTTAAGGAAATGAGGAACTGCACAAGAAAGGAGCAAATCGGCAGGCTTCTCTGTTGAGTCTGAGAGACCCTTGCTCAGTGTTTTGAAAAATGGGTGGTGAAAAGGGTATTGGGGCCTGATGAGACCGCAAGAAGGTGGCTGGTGGGGACAGTCCCCTCCTGAATGTGTGGACAGCGGGGGAGCCAGCCCTTTGCAATTCTTTGGATTTTTTTCTGCAGTGGGACATGGAAGGACAAAATTCAGTCTGTGTCTGCTGTCCTGAGCACACCAGTCCCTCATGATCTCCCTGTTTTCTCTTGAGGAGCCCACAGATTCACCAAAGGCTTCAAGCCCTCCTCACCAGATGTGGAGGATCGCACAGGCATTTGAAGCCCAGTGATTATGTCAGCTCCAGGTTTTTTTTTTTTTCCCTAAACATTTTGGAGCATGTAGAATGTAGAAAGTCACATAGGAAAGGCTGGCTGGTGGCGTTAGTGGGAAAAGGTGCTTGTTGCTGTGTCTGACCACCCCACAAATTGTTCTCCAATCTCCCCTTGCATACCAAGGCATGTTAAGAGCACTGACTGCTTTTCCAGAGGACCTGAGTTCAATGCCCAGTGCCCACCTAACTCCATCTCTGGGGAATCCCAACTCACTCTTTTGGCCTCTGAGGGCACTTGCACTTGTGTCCATGCATGCTTATAGGCACACGATTAAAATATAATTTGTTGTTGTTTTTTTCTTTGTTTGTTTGTTTTTTGAGACAAGGTTTCTCTGTGTAACCTTGGCTGTTCTGGAACTCACTCTGTAGACCAGGCTAACCTGGTTGCCTGCCTCTGCCTCCTGAGTGCTGGGATTAAAGTGCGCCACCACTGCCCAGCTTAAAGTAAATCATTTTAAAAAGGGCACATCCCAAGGCCATATGTCATAATAGATGTATTCATGTTTGCTTTATGAATGCATGTGAATGCGTGTATATAGTTGTATACAGTTTTGCTAAGACATTTGTAGATGAATTTCAGCTTAGGACTCTCCACTCTTGCATAGCTCCTATGGAGCAGGGTTTTTGTTTTTTTAAAGATCTTTTATTTATGTATTTTATGTATATGAGTACACTGTAGCTGTCTTCAGACACACCAGAAGAGGTCATCGGATCCCATTACAGATGGTTGTGAGCCACCATGTGGTTGCTGGGAATTGAACTCAGGACCTCTGGAAGAGCAGTCAGTGAACTTAACTGCTGAGCCGTCTCTCCAGCCCCTGGAGCAGTTGTTGTAAGGGGAATGTTTTCCTGTGGCAGCTCATACTGGGGGTGTAATACAAAGGCTCCTCAGCTGTTTCTGTGCTCTGAGATATCTTTTGGGCAAGACAGGAGACAGCAAAGATGCTAAGCTAGGCTCCGGAACAGGAGAAGATGAGCAGAAACTCGGCACTGAGACTCATACCCATGTGTTGGGGGTGGAGCATTGTGGTAAAGGCACCTGCCTTCAGGAATACAGGGTTGAAAAGAAGAGTTGGAAGACTAGCCTTCTATCTCTCCACCTGTCCATCTTTATGTAGCCTAGGCTAACCTTAAACTTGCCATCCTCCTGCCTTGGCCTTCCAAGTGCTAGGATTACTGGTGTGCACTACCATAGGCAGCTGGGTGAAGGGCTTAGATTGCAAGTGGCTACACTTAATTTATTCTTAATTTATTGACAACTGTCACGTTTCTTGTCTCTAAAATTGCATCTAGAGGTGCTGGAGAGACGCTCAGCAGTTAAGAGCTTTTGCTCTCTTGTGGAGGACCAGAGTTTGGTTCGCAGTACTCAGATTGGGCGTAATCACCTGTAACTCCAGCTTCTGCTCATCCAAACTCTCTGGCCACCATGGGCATCTCCACTCACGTTCACTTCCCCACTCAAATAATTAAGATGAAACACATCTAAAGTCTGACCAAGATTTGCTACCCACACCGCTGTAAGCCTTGTCTGCGTGTGCCGCATGCACCCTCATCCTTTACAACCTCACACTCCTGATCCCTCTGCCTTTTCATCGCTGCCTCTATTTCCCCAGCCTACTTCAACCCAGTAGAAAGATGGAGGCAGAAAGCAGGCCAGATTTTACCAGTTTTCTTCTGCTCCCTCCTGATAACCTTTTGGGCAGCAAAGGCCTTGCAAAGGCTGTGAGATAGGTAGATTTACCTCTTCGACCTTACCTCCTGCTTCCCAGGCTGGTCTTGTCTGTTCAGCCACCCAGGCCTCCTTCCTCTGAACCCCCAAGACCCCTCTCAGCTCATCCCCGAGTTTGCTGTCCCACTGCTGGGGACACTCAAGTCTGCTGTCAGATCCCGTCACTTGAGGCCCCATCACACCTGTTTAAGATTGCCACAGCCCCAGCACATCTGTCATCCCTCCCACGTTGTTTTCTGAGGTCAGCAGCTGCTGATCCTTCAACATGCTCATGATGATTGTTGTCTTGTCTGTCTGTCTGTCTGTCTGTCTGTTCATCTGTGTGTTGTCTGCTCTCCCCTCCTTCCCAGCCTATAGCCTTCCCAGGGAAGGACAGGATAGACTTTTAAAAAAAAAAACAAGACAAAACATTTACTTACTTTTTTTATATGTATATGTATTATATGTATATGGGTATTTTGTCTGCACGTATGTCTATAGACCACATGCATGCAGTGTCTAGACATGCCAGAAGAGGGCATGAGATCTCCTAGAACTGGCGTTACAGACAATTAGCTACTAGGTGAGTGCCAGGAACCAGACCTGCATCTACTGAAAGTGGTCATAGCCAGTGGTCTTAACCCCTGAACCATGGCTCCAGCTACCAAGGTAGACATTTTAAGTCAGTTTAATTCATTGCTACTTCTCTAGAGCTCAATATACCCTGGGTACTCAGGTAGATCTGTGGAGTGAAGGAACGTATCAAAATCAATAGCTTAACCACAGGAAACGCAAGCACAGAACTTCTAAAGGCTTAGCAAAGCAAGCAGACATTCCGATATTTGTCTTGTTTGCTCCCATGGTGTGGCAGTCACTTCTGTGGGAGAAGTAAGAAGAGAAGAGAATAATGAAAGGATATTTCCGAGAGATTAATCTGAAGGACTGTGGCGAGAAGAAAAGGACTGGAAGAAAGTTTTGAATCTGCCTGGAATAAGTTACGCAAATCAAAGCAGTGAATTTTCTTGCTAGCAAATGAATGGAAAGAAAGAAATCCACTCGAGAGGGAGATACTTCGAAGGACAGATCCACAGCGTGGCCACCACAGTGTGGGCGTGCAGAGGAAGCACGAGCAGATGAGAGCTAAGAGTAGATTAGTCAGGGAACCGACAGTGCTTATGAGGAGTACTGTGTAGGGACTGGACCCTAGGCTTCCCTTGTGTCTGCTCAACCACTAAGCTGTACTCTAGCCTTGGAGACTAAGATTCAGAAGTGAGGTGCTTGATTTTTATTATTTTTAAAAATTTGTGTGTATGTATGTGTCTATATATGTGTATAAGCACATGCTTGTGGGTACCCATAGATGCCAGAGATATTGGATCCACTGAAGTTGGAGTTAAGGACAATTGTGAGTGCTGGGAACTGAACTGGGTCCTCTGCAAGAACAGAATTTACTGAGTTGAGTTTTATTCAGCTGGTTGGAGACCCAACTTTAACTTTTTATAAATAAATAGAGGCAGGAAAGGTCCAGCTAGTGAGCATAGTTTTAACAATGTTAATTCATTGCCAAGGATACTGTCAAATATGGTAACTCTGTCAAAATGAATTGTTGGTCCAGACTTCTGAATTTCTGATCAAACGGTGATATCAGCATAGTCCCTTAAACACACGTGTTTGATTGTGTATTTACACCTGTCCTTCGTGTCCCTGGGGCACACTGTGATGCAATGGATGCTTGGATAAGTGCAGGACGGTTGTCTTGGTAGCTGTATGCACTCTTGCAGTCTGGGAGAGCAGGAAGGGATGTAACTATCCTGCAAGGTCTGGGTGCTCGCCGTTGTCTAACACTGGCTTTTTCTTTTTTTCTTTTTTAGAGTTATTATCACCATGTTGGTGACCTGTTCAGTTTGCTGCTATCTCTTGTAAGTATCTTGTCTCTTGTACATAGTTGTTCTTAAAAGCAGTTATTCTTGTTATTTATAATGTATTAATTGACACATTATGGGTCATTGGCCCTTAATATTTGTTTAATATCTACAAATAGTATCCTTAAATTGAGTGTGCTCAGAATTGCACATTTTCAAGTGCTCAGTGTGTTAGGTAAGAGCTGAAGACAGGAGTACAAATGTAATCTAGTTTCTGAGAATGTAACGCTTATAATTATCTGGACCTCATAATTATACTACTGTATATCTTACTACTGTGAAATATTTATTTAAGCCTACTCATTTTACTTACTCTCTCACTTGAATGTAATATCTTTTTTTTTTTAAATTAAAAACATTAATTATTATCACACATACAAATCCTCTGCTGCTGGCTTTAAGCCACTGTGTGGGTGCTGGTCATCAAACCTGGGCTCTCTAGAAGAGCATCAAGTGCTTAGTTTTTTTGGGTTGTTTGCTTTTTGAGAAAAGGTTACTCTGTGTATCAGCCCTGGCTGACCAGGCTAGCCTTGATCTCACAGAGATCTGCTTGCCTCTGCCTCCTATGTGCTGGAATTAAAGGCATGGACTACCACTACCAAGCTAAAATGTGGCGAGTTTTTTGTTGTTGTTGTTGTTGTGTTGTTTTTTAACATCTGTTACCTGCTAAGCCATCTCTGTCTCTAACCTTTTTTAAAAAAAATTTTGAGCCGGGCGGTGGTGGCACACGCCTTTAATCCCAGCACTTGGGAGGCAGGGGCAGAGGCAGGCGGATTTCTGAGTTTGAGGGCTGTCTGGTCTACAGAGTGAGTTCCAGGACAGCCAGGGCTACACAGAGAAACCCTGTCTCGAAAAACCAAAAAAAAAAAAAAAAATTTTTTTTTGAGGTGTGGTACTGAAGACTGAACCCAGGCCCTTGTAAACCCTGAGCCCCTATCCTTAAATAAAGTCGTTCTTTCATTTTTTGTTTTATATATATTAAATAAATAGAATTATCAAATAAATATATAATACTAAATACATACCTTTTGATTTTCACTTTTTCCCTTGAGTATGGTCACTATGTAGTGCCAGCTGTCCTGGAACTCACAGAGATCTGCCTGTCTCTATCCCCCAAGGTCTGGGATTGAAGGGTGCACACCTTCCTTCTTAAGACTCTTGCTTATCTGATGAACAGAAGGGGAGCTAGGATTATAACAAGGTAGAGGGAGGATAGATTTGATAGGTTTTCTTTACACTGTTATAAGCTCTATTAAACTATAATAACTCGCCTCTGTCTGAGTGGATTGGATATACTGTTGGATGAAAGCTGACTGTGTGTGTGTGTAGGGTAACTTTTCCCTTCAGCCTGTGTTGGGATGCTGCTCTTCGAGCATCATGAATGGAGAAATGGCAGAACATCCTGAGCTAGCTTAAAGATGTGTCTCACAGTTCTCCACACTCTCTCCTTTCCTGTAGAATACAGAGCCAGCCAAACTGCAGAGGGAAAAACCCCCTGAGTTTTAATCTACTCTTGGAGCAAATAACTACTGCCAAGTGCTTGAAGGGATATGATTTCTTCTTTGTTAAACAGCTGAAACATAGGCCACACCCACTGCAGAAAAGCTGCCCCTTTAAGAACGTCCTCGTTCACTTTCTTTCTTGTCAGGATCTCACACTGTAGCCAAGATAGTCTGGAACTTACTATGTAACCCAGGCTGTCTTCACATTCACACCAATCCTCCTGCCTCAGCCTCTCTGTTCAGTCAACTTGACACATAATTCAGAATATCCTGGATATAGAGTCTCAATGAGGAATTATTTGGGTTGGGTTGGTGGATGGTCATGCCCATGGGACATTTCTTGGGTTAATTGAGGCAGGAAGCCCCTCCCTGCACATGGACTGCACCTTCCTTGGGCTTGTGTTCCTGATGGTGTGAGAGTGGAGAGAGCCGGCTGAGTGCAGAAGCTCACAGACACTCTCTGTCTCTGCTCCTGATCAGCTGGTACTAGCGCTTTCAGTTCCTGCCGCCTTGACTCCCCTGCCATAACATAACTAGACTGTGCCCTGGAACTGAGAACCAAACAAACCCTTTCTCCTCTCAGTTGCTTCTATCCAGTATCTTATCACAGCATCGGAGATGAAACTAGGGCACTCCCAAATGTGGGGTCACAGGCATGAGCCCCCATGTCAATGCATCCTCTTCTCAGGAAGAACTTCCTAGCTCCCTGGAATTTTGCTCACGTGATAAGGGTGGAAATGGTGCTGGCTGGAGTATTGTTTGGTGTAGCCATGGGCAGGAAATAGCAGTTCCAGTCCATCCTGAGATGAAGGGCTGGTTCCTTCTGTGCCTCTGCAATGAGGAATTATTTGGGTTGGGTTGGTGGATGGACATGCCCATGGGACATTTCTTGGGTTAATTGAGGCAGGAAGCCCCTACAATGTCTAGTGCACTGGGGCTTCTGCACTAAGGTTTTTAAGGAAGTGTGTAATGAGGAGAGTTTACTCCTGAGACGCTTGGCTTTTTGCATGCCCCTTTAGTGACTCCTAAGCAAGGTTTAGGTTTCTGTAAAATGTCCTACAGGTGATCTCAAGATCTCAAGATGCCTGGCTGCGCCAACACTGAGCTCCTTGTGGTACTGGCTGAAATTGTCTCTTCATCTTTTGGTTCGTTTTGGCTAAAGACTAACAGGGTTTCCAGCTGATGGCTTAGATGTAGAAATCTGTCGTGGACCAAGTGGAGTGGTATTCTTACAGTAGTTAGCTGTAGGGGAAAGAGCAACTTCATGTGTCAACTACAAAGAGACAGTGGCTCCCTCTCTGTATCCCTGTCTGCCTTGGCATTTACCATGTAGACCAGGCTAGCCTCAATGCACAGAGACTCACCTGCCTCTTTCTTGCAAGCACTGGGATTAAAAAAATTCATGCTCAGCCTGATGTTGACTTTCTAAACCTACTGTAGTCTCTCTATAATTTTACAACCTTCAAAAATTACCAACTTCCAGACAAGCCTGTAAGGCACCCCTCAGGTTCTCTTCTACCTCAGATTGTTTTGAGGGAAACGTAGTTTATTCAATAACCACCACGTCAGACAGAACCACCGTACATGAGTAGTCCCTCTGTCTTACCAAGCATCCTGTGCACCTCACTTCCCTGATTGTCTTACTGATTTTGTAGTTTGTGTGAAGATGAGCCACAGAGGTGGCACCTTGTACTGGTGGGTGTGTTCCTGAGGAGGGGCTGCATCGGCAGTGCCATTGGCATCCTTGAGTAAAAGCCAGGGGCACTGATAAATAAACATTGTGTTCTGTCCAGGACACACCTCCCTTGTTCCTATGAATAAGCTTGTGGTCCAAAACTTATTAAGTAGTGCAAATATTAAGAAACCCTGACCTTAAGGAAGGAGGGAAAAAGCGAGAGCGAGTGAGAGCAAGAGAGAGAATGAAAGAATGAATACATTGGGCAGAGCCAAACCTTAGCAGTGCCGATGCTGACATGTGCCATGGTCATGTCTGTCTTTCCTGGGCCTCCGCTTGCCACAGTACAGTCACTCAAGATCAGCTGCAGCCCAAAAATATTAGTATTGGTCTTGATTCCCTCAAGAGAGATTTGATACCGTTCACTGTGGTGTCTTCTGTCTTCACTGTATGGGAACTTCAGTGTTCCCATAGGTGTGTGGGCGTGCATAGGAAACTGGGTAAGGTCGGTTATCTGTGATCCAGGGTCTACTGGATGTACTGGAGCAGGACCCACATAACTGAGGCAGGATTACTGTTTAAGATGAAGATGTGGCTGAGAAGGGCCACATAGAGCCACAGCCTCTGCATCAGGAGACTGGGCTGCAAAAGCCGAAGGGCTGACTGCTGGAAAACCAGCTGCACACTCCCCTTGCACAAGACGGAGGGGAACTGTCTGAAGGTAGCACAGGGGGAAGCAAAGAAGTCTCTGACCTCATTGTCCAAGAGTAGTCAGCTTTCTGCTTGAGAGAGCTTGGAGAAGTGGGGGAGGAGCCAGCTCGCCTGGAAGCAGTGGAAAATACCAGAAAAGAGTGTGACTGAGGCAGGTAATTAGAGCTACAGAGACCACTGGGAGGACTTAGGAGAGAGGCTGAGGGACCAGTGAGACTTGGAGCAGCCTGGGGTAGTTTTGTTTCTGCAGTGCTAGAGTCGGAACTGGGGCCTAGGTACACCCTCTATGCAGAGCTCACTCCAGCCCCAAGGGAATGATGTTTGGATCATGAGGGGTGAACCTGGGAGGTTTGGATTTCTGGCAAAACTGGGGTAAGCAAAGATAAAAAACTAGGGTAAGCATTGACTTATTTCCTGTAGACCTGTTAGGTGGGCCTTGGGTTGGCAGACTTCCCATAGTACTAGGCAGTGTCAGGTTTGGGCGTTTAGGCACTACTGCCCCTCTAGGCTGCTGGCTCTAGGGCTGGCTGTGCTCCCAATGAAGACAGGCAGTCACTGCGGCCCGGCTCTCAGTTGTCTTTTCTTGTTTCATGCTAGGGATTGAATCCAGAGCCTTGCCTACTCCACGGCTCAGCCTCACTCTCAGTGTTTGTACTGTTTCTTGCTGCTTCTGGGTTTTGAAAGAAGGTCTCAGTAGGTTGCCCAGGCTGGCAGGGAACTCCTGATCCTCCTGCCTCTGCCTTCTGAATCCTAGCATCACAGCCATGAGCTACCACTCTATGTTTGACTTGATTTTCAGAACTTCTTGCTTCATTAATTTTTTTTAGCTTTTTTTTTAAAGGTTTATTTGTTTATTATATGTAAGTACACTGTAGCTGTCTTTAGACACACCCATCTGGCATCAGATCTCATTACAGATGATTGTGAGCCAACATGTGGTTGCTGGGATTTGAACTCAGGACCTCCGGAAGAGCAGTCAGTGCTCTTAACCGCTGAGCCATCTTGCCAGCCCTTTTTTTGGCTTTTTAATTCAAAATAGTTTTGCTATTGAATATGAATTTTCTTCCTGACTCTGTCTTCTGTCATTTATCTCTTTTTTCCCCCCTTCT